AGACAAAGATATCCACTCTCACAAATATTTAATAATGTATTTGATTTGCTGGCCAATACAAATACAAGAAAATTGGAGGTATCGTAATTGGGATGGTATAAGGTGTAAGTAAAACTGTTACTATTTGCAGGCATTGTGAATAATGATTCATAAAATAGTAACAAGTTATATAAATATAGAGAAATCAATATTTTTCATATACACAAATCACAACCAGAGAGAAAGCATGTTTTTACAATAGTAAAAACAACAAAAATATCTAGGAAAAATCTTAAAAGGCTTTTATGAAGAAAACTTTAAAACATGTTCTTACCAAGGTACAAGAAATGGTACCTTATTGATTATATCTGCCACCAGGACACTGGACACCTTGTGCTTAAGTGTTGGGTTGTCAGAAAAGTCGTAACGTATTTTTTCTGTGTTTTTCGTTGCAAAAATGCATCATGACTTTTCCAACAACCCAATAGTAGCAGAAGAGTAAAGGAGCCACCATCATGGGAGTGTCAAATGGCCTGGATCAACAAGATGAGCTGGAGATGTTACTACAAAGTGGTAGCAGAACCATGTGATCCTCTTGGCATCTTTTGCTATGCCCTGACTCCCATTTTAACCATGAACAGATGGTTCAGTTTGGGGGTGCAGCAACCCCAAGCTGAAATGGAAATGACTATCACATGTTCAGGCCTTTTGGGTATGACAGTTTGAGTCACAGCAGCAGGTAAGCCCTGGGAATAATTGAGCGTGAGGGAAATTTCAAATGGACGGTGGAAAAGGGAAAGGATGAGTACCAACGATGGCCCTGAGATCAAGCACAGCATCAGAGACCGCCATTCTAGCCACTAGCCTCATTCTTGCATTCCCTTAGGAAGAAATGTCCATGAGAAGCACATAAGTGTTGCTTCCTGAACCTGTGAAGAAGTAGATATGTGTTACACAAGGGGTAAACTCTGGCAGCTATAAGGATGTGCCTCACAGAACTGCATAGGGAACATATCGACTTCGGCTCAAGAACCCCTGACAGCTTTTCCAAAGCTCAGACTGCCCTCCCAAACTTCTCTCCCTCCCCTTATATTGCTTTGGGGTCTGACAGCTCTCGGCCTTCTTTGAATCCCTCCCTATTTCCTTTCACATAGCCTTTTTCCTTAATAAAATTCTTGCACATTTAATCTCATCTTGGCTTCTGCTTCTAGAAGGATTAGGATTAACACAATTTATAAATTCAATTAGGAAGATTCTTTATGATGTCTACTTTCCCTGTCGAAAAAGCATGGTATGTTTTTCTATTTGTTAAAGTTTTCCACTGTGTTTTTAGCAAATATATTCTGAAGTATTTAGAGGTAACGGGTATCATGTCTGCAATTTACTCACAAGTGAGTCAATATAAACAAACAAAAAATAGGGCAGGGGAGAGAATGGTAAATAAATTTAGTGAAATACTAGATAGGGAATGTGTGAGAGGGGGTTATTTGTATTAGTCTTATAACTTTTTAAAGTCAAATTATTTCAAAATTAAAAAAATACTTCTATAGAGGAAAGGCTTAAAATAGTAACATTGAAAGCAAGGTAAAATAACACATTAAAACAATTGGGGAAAAATTGACTTAATCAAACATAGGATCAAATATAAGATAAACAATAAACAGACAATTGATATCCCTAAATAGAAAGAACTGCAAACTACGATAATCCAACTATTCTATGACAAAAATGGAACTCGAAGAAGTCACAGATTTTAAAGTTACAGAGGAGGAGACAGATTTTAGCTCAATATGAGATAAAAATCTCTGGCAAACAGGGTTGTTCAACCATCAAATGCTTTGAAGTAATGACAATTTGGAAGCAGTTCTATTATTATAGCAAGTATTTAGACAAGAGTTTTGTAGGAATACCTCCCCTACAAAAACCACGGGAAGTATTCCTCATTGGAAGGTTGAACTGTATGATATCTAAAGCCTTTTCTGACTCTAGGATTCTTGGAATTTGTAACTGGAATACTATCCACCTCAGTGGTGTTAGTTCTGAAGCTAAACCATGTCCTTAGAAATTCAGAAAGACTTGTAGAGGCAAAAAATGTTAAGTGAAAAGTGTCCTGTGAATACACTGATCACTTTTGTCTCTTGTTCATATCCAAAGTTGTGCTTAGGTTATCACTTTGAATTTACTATAATTTTTCTGTCTTGTAAACTCGCTATTAAATAGTATTACATTATGGACAATGCTTAACTGGTGATGACTTCTTTTAAAGTAGTGCATCTCAAATTCTAATAAATGTGCAAACAACTTGGGGAACTTTTCAAAATGCAGATCTGGATTGTAATTTTGATTCAGTAGTCAAAATTATAAAGCCTCTAGAATAAAATATAGGTAAAAATCATAGTGAGGTTGACAAAGATTTCTTGGGCTTGGCCAAGATTCCTAAATGCTATGCAAAATGCAGAAAGTATAAAAAAGCAATATATTGGGCTTCACCAAAATTTAAAACTTTCGCTCTGCAAAGACACTATTAAGAAAATGAAAAGGCGAGTCACAGATTGGGAGAAAATATTTACAAAACATGTATCAAAGTACTTGTATGTAGAACATAAATGATCAACTCTTAAAAATCAGTAATAAGAAAAAATCCAGTAAAAATATGGGCAGATATTTGAAGACACTTCACCATGAAGAAATACGACTGACAAATAGGCACATGAAAAGACACTTAATACAATTGGTTATTAGGAAAATGCAAATTAGTATCACAATGAGATAGAACCACTCATCCTTAGGATGGCTAGAATTATATCAAGACTGACCATACCAAGAGTGGGTAAAGATGTGGAGCAACTGGAACTCTCATACCCTGCAGATAGGAACACAGTACAACCACTTTAGAAAACATTTTCTAAATTTCATAAAAGTACGCACCTACCCTATATGAACTAGTCATTCCACTCCTACGTGTTTACCCAAGAGAAATGAAAGCATGTCCATACACTTTACATGAATGTTCATAATGACTTTATTTATAATAGCCAACAACTGTATAAACAACTTAAATGTCCATAAACAGGTACATCGGTAAACTCAATATATTCATATAATGGGACACTACTCAGCAATAACAAGGAATGAAATATTTATATAGTGCAATGTGGGTCTCAAAATAATCAATGATCTCAAAGTATTTTGAGTGAAAGAAGCCATGAAGTGTACATGCTGTATGATTTATGTAAAATTCTAGAACATGCAAACTATAGTAACAGAAAGGAGGTCAGTGCTTGCCTGGGGATAGGTGTGGGGCAGGTGTCAGGTAGAGGCAAGATAAAGGATTGCAGAGTCATGAGAAAACTTTTAATGGTGATTAATATATTCATTAGCTTGATTATAATGATTTTACAAATATGCATATAAACTTATAAAACATTTAAATATGTAGTTTAAGTTAATACACTATAAAAAGTGCAGATTCTGATTCAGTAGGTTTGGGCTGGGGCCAAGAGTCTGCGTTAATGAGCTTCCAGGTGATGTTGATACCATTTCCATACCACATTTTGAGTGGCAAAGCTCTGAGGTGTATTTAGTCATATATATGACATTTTAGTACACAATAGATACATATGGCTGGTACCATGCTGGATAGTGTAGATAATTTCCATCACTGAAGAAAATTCTATTGGATGTCAGTAGTGAAGATTCTTCAATACATTGATAACTATTAATCTTGTCCTGTTATCTTTCAACTATGACTCGTCTTTGTTCATTCCACTCTCTCAGGCTGAATGCCCTCCCTTCATAAAGCTTTGCTAGAATCTCATTTTAGGTTTTTAGAGTAGTCGTATATTGCTTACATTTCATTTTATCATGTTCTTCATTCTAAGTTGCATTAGAGTTGGAATAAAGTTTAAAGAATAGAATGTACAGGGCCGGCTGAATGGTGTGTTGGTTTGGGACTCCAGCTCTGAGCAGTGGGGCCCCGGTTAGGATCCCACATGAGGGCCAGTGATGCTGCGCCCTCTACAGCTAAGATGGTGAACAACAGCTTGACCAGGAGCTAGGCTGCTGTGAGTCGCCAGCAATGGCGTAGGCTGCAGTGGGGCTGGCCGGCAGCTGGCGTGCACTTTCGTGAGCTGCCGTCCAATGGCTGCCGAGTGACTGCCTGACCCAGAAAGAGCGCAATGATAATGCCAACATGGGCCAGTGAAGCGACGTCCTCCACAACTAGACTGAAGAACAAAAGGACAGCAACTTGTCTGTTCCCCTTCACCGATTCCCCAACGCTGTTCCCCTCCCCAAATAAAAAAAAAAATAGAAAGTTCAACTGAAGGCAGATGTTAGTTCAATTTAAGCTTCCTAACAACTTAAACCTGTCTAAAAATCTCACATTATAACACAATTTCCTCACCATCCATAACATTCATATTTCATGGTTCTTGTGGCTGTACTCAGGATTGTGTACCAGTTCAAGTAAGTTCCAGTGTGGCTTCTACCACTAAGAGGTGTGACCTGAGGTAAATGAGAACTTCTCTAGGAATAAATTCTCATCTCTAAAACGAGGAGGTTGAATTAGGTTATTTTATTATTTCTTATTATTCTCACATTCCATTTTTCTACTTATTTCAGAGTACAGATAGCAAGAAGCCAGAAAGAACTTTAGCTTCTTGGCTCTGAATAAGGAGTGGGTTGGACTAGATGTCCATCATCATTAAGAAAGTTTTAAGTTGAATAGTACCAACCTTTAACCTTTGTATAGTCCATACTGGGGATTGACAACGTTTTTTTGTACAGGACCACTTTTGACCTTGCAGGCTATATGGTCTGTCACATATACTAAACTCTGCCATTATAGTGTGAAACAGTCACAGACGATATGTCAATGAATGGGTGTGACTGGATTTGGCCCACAGTTAGTTTGCTGACTCTTGGTTTAGATCAAAATACCTTTCTAACCATCTGAAGTTAGGCAGAGAAATCACGGAAAAACCATAAATACTGATAACATTTTATTAACTCTGGGTATATAATATAACTCGTCCTTTACATCTAAAGATAACAAACCAACAAATTATCATAATTTCAGGTTATACATCATTTAAGATAATAAACCAGGTTTATAAAAGCTATAAAAATATTTCACAGGCATGGGAAAATGTGGTCATGAGACTTAATTGTAAGAAGGGGTATAGGGTATGTTAGAGATTTTTCAAACCTACAAAGGACATTTAAAAATTTACACTGTTAGTAAAGTTCTTTCTTAGATAATCAGCATTTTATCTTCATTCATCAGAAGACTTAATTAAAGCAGCTTTCTTCTTATACTTGTCTCCAATCTCTCTAATATTTTCCAAGAGATCTTCAGACATGTGTTCTTCATACTCTCTATCAACTTTAGCAATCTGCTCCTCAAGGTGTTTCTAATGGAAACAATTAGCGATTGTTAATGTAAAAACAATTTCTTTTAAAGTGTTTAACTGTGTAATTTATAGATAACAGTATACCATTTGTTAAGAAAAGGAATATTCTTGTATCCACTGTGTAGGTCCCTTTTGTGCCCTTTGCTAATTATATCCCCTCTTTTATTTCTCCAGAGACAATCACTCTTCTGAATGGCACTTTCCTTGTCTTTATACTTTTAACACACACACACACACACACACACACACACACAATGTATTTCTAAACAACATAGCAGTTTAGTGGTACCTGGTTTCAACCTTTATATTTATTGAATGATACTGAATGTAACGTTCTGACTTATTTTTTTTCACCTGGTATTTTAAGATTCATTCATGTTAATGCATACAGCTACAGTTTATTCATGTACTGCTATACAGTATTCTATTGAATGAATACATCATTTACTTGTCCATTTTACTATTAATGAATTTTTGTTTGTTCCCAGACATGGTAGGCTGAATAGAAGCCTCTCCAAAGATGTCCATGTCCTAATTCCCAGAACCTGTTAATATGTTATCTTATGTGGCAAAAGAAACTGTGCAGGTGTGGTTGAGTTAAGGTTCTTGAGAAAAGATTGTTCTGCATTATCCTAGGTCCAACATAATCACAAGGGCTCTTGTAAGAGGGAAATGACAGTGTGACAGAGAGATCTAAAGGCAGAAGAGAAGACACAGAGGATAGAAGATGCTATTGGCTTTGAAGATAGGGGAAGAGGCCACAAGCCAAGGACTCTAGGTGACCTCTAAAAGGATTGCAGCCTGGAGGCCTTATTTTAGACTTGTGACCACAAGAAATGTAAAAGAATAAATTTGTGTTGCTTTAAGCCATTAAATTGGTGATAATGTGTTATGGCACCAATAGAAAACTAATACACCAGGTTATTTGTTTTTTACTATTTCAAGTACTATATCATAACAAATTTATAACAAACTATGTGGATTAAAACAACATAAATTTATTCTCTCAGAGTTCTGGAGGCTAGAAGTCTGAATCAAGATATTGGCAGGGCTGTGCTCTCTCTCTGAAGACTCTAGGAAGAATCTTTCCTTGTCTTCTTCCCAGCTTCTACCAGTTCCCTATCAAGGGGCACTCCTTAGTTTGTAGTTGCATCACTGTATTTCTGCCTCCATCTTCACATGGCCTTTTTATAAAGATACTAGTCACTGAATTTAAGGCCTACCCTAATATAGTATGAACTCATCTTAACTAATTATATCCACAAAGATCTATTTCCAAATAAGGTCACATTATGAGATTTCAGACAGACATGTATTTTGGGGAGACTGTAATCCAGCACAGTACTCTAACAGACAGTGTAATAATTTAATTAAATACCTAGAGTGGAACTGCATAGTTTTATTAGGGATTGCCAAATTGTTTTCTAAAATGGTTACATCAATTTACAACCCCAGCTGTATAAATGAGAATTCCCATTTCTCTACATCCTTGCTGGCATTCAGTATTATCAAACTTTAATTTTTTGCCAATTTCTTGAGGGGGGAAGAATTGGTGTATCTTTTCATATGTTTTTTGGCCACATTTGGTCTTTGTGAATTTCCCATTCAAATCTTTTGCCCACTTTTCATATTTATTTTTCAGAGGTCATTATGTATCTGGATGTTAACTCCTTAGCAGTTATTTAAAAAAATATCTTCTACCATGTGTGGCTTATTTTTCTACTCTCTATGTCCTTTGATGTAGAGATCTCAATTTTAGTAAAGCTGAATTTATAAATAATTCCTTTTGCAGTTTGTACATTTTGTGTCTAATTTAAGAACTCTATTTATAATTCCTGAAGTGTAAAAATAGTTTTGCAATTCTTCTAAAAGATAAAAATTGAGCCTCACACTATTTTCCTAATCCATCTGTCTAGGGTTTAAGGCAGCAATTAAACTCCATTACTTGAACAACTCATTTCTCCCCACTATTCTGCAATACTACCTCTAATATATCAGTTTCCTATTTATGTTCATGTACCTACTTCTGAACTCTTAATCAGAGATTGATTTGTATGCATCAATACTGCAATGTGTTGGTTATTATAGCTTTATAATACTTTTTGGAACATCTAAACAGACAAAGAAAAAAAGATTCTGTGCTCCTCATGAAGGTAGGAGTCTAGAACAGGAAGGAGTCCGCATGCTTTTTTTTTTTTGTTAAAGGGGCAAGTCATAAAATTTTAGGCTTTGTGGGACAAATAGTCATTGTTGCACCTGCCGAACCCTGCTGTTGTAGCGGGAAAGCAGCCACAGATAGTATGGAAGTGAATGAAATGGCTGTGATCTAATAAAACTTTATTCACAAAAGCAGGCTGTAGGCACACTTTGGCCTGCAGGCTGTCAGTCAGAACATCAAGCTACATTAAAGACCTATCCAGGGCTCCACCAGGAACTGCTCAAAGAAACTTTGTCCCATAGGAAAATATACCATGTGAAGATACCATTAGATCCAAATTCATTTGTTTTCTTTAGTACAATTTCATCACTCATAAAATTTCCCCACACTATGTTTTAATGATTATTGGTTGAATTTCTATGTTCCTTCTATACTTTATTGGCTAACTGTGAATTTCACATAGTGCAAAATAGGTGCTCAGTAAATGTTTATTGAATTTGGTCTGATCTTCTTGAACAACAGTGAACTATACAGAAAGTGATTAAAAAGTAACAGTAATCTATCCTTAGTTTGAAATCTAATTTTACATTAACTGATTAAAACTTTAATAGTGTGGTTACCTTTCACATATAAATCCTTAGTGACAAATCACTACTGGATTAACACTAACGTCAGACTAATAGTTATCTATAACAGATAGTTAGAGGTACAAAGCATGCTGGCAATTATTTAGTACAACCCTCTCATTTTACAGATGAAGGAAGTAATGGCTCAAAGAAGTAAAATGATAACATACAAGCAGACTTTCTCAATCTAAGCCAAGAGTAGTATGTTATAAATGAAGTTTTCTCTTATGTACCTAGAACAGAACTATTATACAACAACCTTGGGAGAACGAGAAAGTAATCATTTAAATAATTTTCTGGTCTGTGGTTGAAAAAGGATTGAGGAAAGGTTATAGAGCCACTAAGTGGCTGAATTAGGAGAAGCGAGTAGAAACCAGGTTTTCTGATACAGTATCTGGGATGCTTTTCTCAGTTTTTACCAGTAAGCAGTGAAGAGCACTGGCAAGCAAGAAAGCAGTTCAATGACTTTCAGGAGAGATGAGGGGAAGTAGGATATCATATACTCTGCTTTCAATACGTGGAAGCCTACTAATGTGATATGATGAGTGTTCTTTCCTTAACTATTCACAACTGGAAATATATTACCACTTAATAAATTAACCAGGAATTTTGGAGTTCAGCAATTTATCTTAGCTTTTGGGTTCTGTACAGCAGGTTGGAAGAACAGTTTTATTGTTGAACTTCCAATCTACGTGAAAGGTGAGGCTAAGGTAAATTTCATGTTTCAGAAATACTTTATT